ACATCACAGTCATAAGAAAATGAATAATAAAATGTAAATTTAAATAAAAAAGTTGAAAAAAATATATCAACAACACAAAGAAAAAGTTTAATGTTGAATAAAGCAATAATTTTATGTATTCATAAAAATCAATGTGTATATAACTCTGTTCGTACGACTCTGTACTTTAACTTATAGACAGTAAGTATTCAATTATTTAAAAAAGAATAAAATAGTTGAACGTATTTAAAATATCATTCAATCCAAAAATTTATTTCAGAGTTTTTAACAATATAAAAATGTAAAAATTCTTTATTCTTACATCAGTAAGAAATAGAATAACTATGAAATATTTATTAATTAAACTGATGATTATGAAAGTGATGTCGTATATTTATTAAATATATTAGCGAATTATTAAAAAATTATTTTTCTCTATTACGACAAATAGAAAAAGTAAGTATATCTGTGTTCTTGAAAAAAATAATTCTTACATGTAAATTAAACATTTTATGTATAATAAGACAAAATATGTCTTTCGATAGCTTAAATGACTTAGACCACCTTTTATTATCATCAATCATATCAATGATGGATTTGAAGGAAATAAATAATAGAGAAGATAGGAAATAGATAATAGAGAAGAAAGTAGTCTTCATTTTTTGTATAGTCTTTTAATGGATAATAATGAATAAAAATTACTCCCTCATCATTTTTTCTTTCTGTCTAGCAAGCTTCTTCTTGCTCAATTTTTTCTTCGAAGGTTCCTCTTCTGTTGCTTTCGAAACAATATCCTCCTTTTCAGTCAATATGACTTCTATATGGGATGGCGAGCTCATATACGCTATAAAAAATAATTACATGGATACAATATTATATAATAATAAATACAATGAATATTATTTTATTGTAAATAAAAATAAATCATTTAAAAAAATAGAAAAAACATGAAGAAATACTTACGATTAATACGACCATGAGCACGATAAGTTCTCCTGCGTAGACATGGTGCATGATTAACCTGAATGTGATCGATGACAAGACGTTCCACATCCAATCCTCTATAATCAGCATTGCTTTCAGCATTCTTTAAAAGTTGAAGTAAGAACTCTGCTGATTTCTTGGGCCAACGTCCTAAAAGGATAGACACCTCAATTAAATGAGATTTAATGATCCTTCATAATACATTACATTTTTTGTAAGTGCAATGTTCCAGAAATATTTAACGTTGTTCTATTATCCTTCAAAATCTACCTTGAGTTGTGCCAAATTGTTTAGCTTGAGCACATCGACCTACTCCACCATTGAACCTTCGGAAAGGAACACACTCTTTATGTTCGATAACATTCTTCAAATATTTTTGAGCTCTACGGAGAGCCATATTTTTAATAGCTCGTGCTGTTTCATGAGTGTTCTGTAATAAACACAACACTGTCAATTAAAATTATATTACTACAACTGCTTTTATATACTAACATGTATTAATATGCAACACAACATTGATAAGTTATGTTCACAAGATACAACAAAATGATATTTACCTTGAAGTGTACACGAAGGTTAGAACCTCGTGCCTTGCACGATTTCGTAGCATTTAATGGTTCGTAAGAATAACGACCCATTTTGTTCTGAAAACAAACCACAAATAATTAATAAAAATTATTAACAATACTTAATCGACATATTTCATGTTCATCATAAGATAGGTGTCGCAGTGTAGACAATCGCGGCATGCGTATATAACTACAAATATTTCTCTATTTTACACGAAAACACGAAATATATATTGCAAACAAAATATCTAATTAGGTTTTATAAACATAATAGATTAATAATTGTTTAATCGATGATAGGATAAAACGATAGATGTAAACGGATTCAATCAATTTTACATATTCCGAACATACCTTCTTTAACACGGTTCTATAGAAAAGGATGTCTCGAAACGATCACTGTCCGACTTCCTTTACGAACAGTGCTACCAACTTACTAATACTTTATTTCGAATAATCCAACGAGAACAAAACTTTACAATATCAACTTTTTTCTTTATTACAACTATTTATCACGTTTATATGAGGTTAAAAAAAAAAAGTTATAACAAATACATGACGTCTAATTAATCAATCAAAATTTTATCATACATTTCTAGTCTTCGTATCTGTCGATAAATATTTCAATCCTTTCTTTTCATCGATGAAAATGATCAAATGTCATGACTCAAACGTTTGGTCGAACCTTCAAAATAAAAATTACATTATTCAAATATCTCAGCACATATAATATATTTGTGTAAGTAAAATTTAATTAAAAATAATATAAAAGTACCTTTAATGAATAAAACGAGACATTTTTTGTAGTTCTTTAGATAAAATCGAAGTTTTGTTGAACGATAGATACGCTCCTGAGGGTACAATTCGTGATCACGAATTCTGTTAAAAAAAATTATTGCAATTTTGTTTTTTTTTATTTCCACACTGTTTAGTAAAAGAAAACTTAGATATAATTGATAAGAATATTTTTTTCTTTCTCTCTCTCTCTATCTCTCTCTCTATATATATATGTATATATAAAATTCATTCTTATACGCACAAGATAAATAATATATGATATCACACTTATCGAACTATAGACTGTTCAAGTATAGTCTATGATTTTCGTTCTATCTAAACTGTGTGCGTGGACTATCGTTCAATGTTACTTCGCGGCTCCTGGAAAGAGTCGGTTAACCTGTATTTCTTTGAAGAAAATATTTAAAAATATAATGTAAATCAGGAACATTTGTTTTATTCATTAGTTGTATTTCGCGTTGGATTTAAAAAAAGAAAATAAAATTAAAATTATAAACTAACAAGAGAAGATAAGATATTACATTTCTAATAGATCTAACTCTTGTCGAATGATTGAAATTCGAAGATTGACAGATCAATTGAAATAACAATTATCAGTCGAATATTTAAATGCAACTTTTGTAATAACTTAGAAAGGATGTAAGTGTTGTTAACAAAGTTTTATCAAATTGTATAAATCATTAAGAAAAAAAACTGGAAATAACAGAAGTGAAGAAAAAGAAAGAGATAAAACTATTGAAAAGAAAGGAATAGAAAGACGATTTCCTTGTGCATTGAACTTACAATTGTGTGAGAAATATTTATATACTTGTATATTGTATACATAAATGAAATAATATCTTTAGATAATTATCGGTGGGAAAGTTAAATACATATATTTTTTTTATAAATCCATACGCTTATTATACTTGTATATATTTTATATATAACTGACAATTAATTTGTTACGTTGTCGATACTTTGCATAACAAATGTCAAAAAACAAATTAAATTTGACATTACCACCTGGCTCGATTGAACCAGTTCCAGCTGTGTCTCCATCACCGCCAGTTCCACCACTGCCTACATATTCAGAACCACCCGTTATGCCGGAGTAAGTTTAATCCTTAAATTTTATTTTAATAATTCATTATCCATTGTCTTTTATAATGTAACTTAGTATTCTATTAGATTGTTCTTATATTCTTTATTTTCTGATTAGTGGTGTAATGGGCAAAATGAGTATCGATGCAATTCAAGAAAGATTAGAAGAATTAGAGATGGACGAAGAACAAAGAAAGAGATTAGAAAGTTTCTTAGGACAAAAAGAGAAAGTAGGAGAATTATGCGATGATGATTTTGAAAAACTTGGCGAACTAGGTGCTGGAAATGGTGGTGTCGTCATGAAAGTTAGACATAAAAAATACGGTCTTATTATGGCAAGAAAGGTATAATTGTTTTGAAAGTTCATATGTATTCAATTTATAGAAAAATATTATAATATGTTTAACCGTTAAATTTATATTATTTTTTCAGTTGATTCATTTAGAAGTAAAACCAGCTATTAAAAAGCAAATCATAAGGGAATTAAAAGTATTACATGAATGTAATTTT